TGAAAATTGAATGTCTGAAGAATCCGTGCAATTTTATAGCTAACAGAAGGATGAAATGGAAGCACGACAAGGTTATTAATATTATTTCTAACAGTGGAATGTCTTCTTTGATGGGAATCTGAAAATTTTTTAACGGCTTTATCAATAATCACGGGAGAAAATACACGGTCAATCGCAACTGCTCTCAAATAATTAAGTTCATTGGTAAGCAAAGATTCAGAAAAACAAACTTTAAGCGCGCGGAATACATAATAGTAAAAAGAAGCCATTTTTTGCTTAACAGAGTGGCATGACTTGGCATGGGGTGGTAAACAAACTGCAAAGGGTTTACGGTACACAGTAGTGCTAAAATTAGTTTCATTGCGGATTATAAGAATATCAAGGAAGGGGAGGGTATTGTTGGATTCAATTTCAAGAGTGAATTGGATGGCTGGATCAATTGAATTCATTAATAGATAGAATCTCGGATAAATCCTCTTAGAATTCGAGACAGAATCTCGGATAAACCGTCAAAAAACGCGAAAGTGTCGTCTACATACCGAATCCAAAGACGAAAAGATAGTTTATCAAATAATTTCATCTCAAAATAGTGCATATAAATGTCAGCAAGTACCGGACTGAGAGGATTATCCATAGCCAATCCTTCAACTTGACGAAAATATTCATTTTGGAAAACAAAGTGGGTTTGACTGAGAGAGACTTTAGTAAGCGAAACCAACTCATTAATTTCAGTATGTGTGAAGTGAAATTCCCGAAGCCTAGTTTCAAGACAATTTAGTGCTCCTTCGACCGGAACATTAGTAAACAGTGATTTGACATCAAATGAAATCATAATGGAACGTGGAGAAATATTTTTAAGTTTATCAATGACTTCAACAGAATTTTTTACAGTGTGAATATTGTTAGCAAGTAAAGGACAAAATCTGGAAACTAAATATTTGGCCAAAGGATATGAAGCAGTACCTATGTTGGAAACAATTGGTCGAAAAGGAATACCGGTTTTGTGGACTTTTGGAAGAGCATAAAGCCTAGCGCAATTAGTAATAGGTGGAATAGTGATTTCTTCAAGTGCGTTGGCAGAATATGAGAAGATTTGATAGCACTTTTAACTTTCGTGAGGTCCGAAGTTGAAGGATCTTTAGGGATCGAGCAGTATGGGCCTTCATTTATCAGTTTAGAGACTCCAGTAATATAAGTGTGTTTGTCCATAACAACGATCTGTCCGCCCTTATCAGCTTTAGAGATAATGATATTAGTATCAGAATGAATTTCACGTAAGATCTTATTTTCCTTTTTGCTAAGATTCGAACCCAAAGATTTGTTGTTAAAATTAACGTTATGAGTAATTAGGTGGCGGATTGTATCCTTCTGCGTTTCCGAAATTTTGGAGAATTTAAAGGCTTTCTCAATAGGTGTGATGATTTGAGGAATTGAAGGTTTAGATGTCTTTGAAAAGTTGAAATTATATTTTAATACAATTAACTGATCCTCCGAAAGATTCCTATTGGAGGTATTAACGATGGGGTTAACGTTTACAGTGGGAAGATTAGCTAGATAGAATCAATATGGTTTGATAATACGAGTATATCTGCTTCATTTTCAAAAGTACATGATATATTGCCAATGTGGGTATTTCGCTTCTTAGCTGAATTTCTGATATTCATATTGAACTCAATATGAGTGATGAGGGTAATGTTATTTTTAATAGTTCGCTGGCTTTGCCGCATCAAATTTTTAACGCATAATCTTTATTTAATAATTAAATTATTTTAAATTGCTAAAGTATGATCTCTTTTCATATGTTGATAATATTTACCGACTCACGATAAATATCGATAGTTTAGGAATATTTCTAAAAGCTGTAACCATAATTCCACTCTTTTTGCTTTCCAGAAATCTCGAGAAACAGAAAGTACTGGAAATATTTCGCGACTGGTTGAAATCTATAAAAGAGAGCATCTCAGCTCAGCTGCTTAGTTACTTTTTTGCGAGTAGTTTAGTTCCGCATGAACTAAGATATTAGATTTCGCTTTCCCTTTAAATGCGCTTTACACTGCGTTGTATATTAACGTTTTTAGTAGTTTGAAGTATAACTACTGATTATTATAGCGTGATAGTGTGAATGCATGTACTAATATCTCCGAGGAAAATTCCAGAGTTCTGATACATTTCTTTTGATAAGAATATATTTCTTTTGATAAAAATATATTTCTTTTGATAAGAATATATTTCTTTTGATAAGAATATATTTCTTTTGATAAGAATATATTTCTTTTGATCTTTGAATCAAAAGAAAAATATCTTTTGAATATTTCTTTTGATAAGAATACATTTTATTAACCTATTATCAGACTTGTGCATTCAAACAAAACTTATTCTAATAAGTTTTACTTTCTGTAGTGATTATTTTCTAAAAATTGTGGTGAATATCTTGTTTTGACCACTGGATGATTTTTCAAAAATCTCCAAGTTTGGCGCGTTTTGTGCACTGTCTCTTTTAGGTATAACTCTCCAAGAGACAATGCATTATGCAAGCACGTAAGAAATATAAACAATAAAAACTATTGGGGGGGGAGGAAGCCTACAAACTTTTGACTTATTTTGATCTTTTCCAGTCTCTGTGTAGATTAGATGTTCTTAATATTCTTAAAAAAAGCACGAGACACGTCATCATCTAACGAATGACCTTGCAATTTTCTCCACATAAATTCGAATTAAATACGAGTAAAAAATATGGATACCGATAAGGTTATCTGGACCATTATTTCTTCTAACTGCTTTGGCAAACATGTTGGAGTCCTGAGTAGGAACAGGGAGTTTGTTGTGGTGGTGTATTTAATTATGGCAAAGCACACGAGGGCTATCTGCCTAAAGGGAGGGATCCCTTTCGTGGAGGACTTTCTAAGGGAAACTGGCTCGTTTACACGTTACACATGGGAAACCACGAAAACGCCCATGCAGCCAGCCCGTTCGCGGGATTCGAACCTCAGACCGAACTACCAGTGTTCAGCGTCTTTACCGCTCGGCCGCTGGTGGGCTGGAACAGGGAGTTTACTAAAAACTATGTTCCTTAAAGTGTATGGATACCGATAAGGTTATCTGGACCACTATTTCTTCTAACTGCTTTGGCAAACATGTTGGAGTCCTGAGTAGGAACAGGGAGTTTGGTGTGGTGGTGTATTTAATTATGGCAAAGCACACGAGGGCTATCTGCCTAAAGGGAGGGATGCCTTTCGTGGAGGACTTTCTAAGGGAAACTGGCTCGTTTACACGTTACACATGGGGAAAACCACGAAAACGCCCATGCAGCCAGCCCGTTCGCGGGATTCGAACCTCAGACCGAACTACCAGTGTTCAGCGTCTTTACCGCTCGGCCGCTGATGGGCTGGAACAGGGAGTTTACTAAAAACTATGTTCCTTAAAGTGTAGAAGGTTCAACACACGTGGAAAGGGATTAACTACCCTTTATTCTTCACAGTTTACAGCTGCTCCCGCATTTCGGGATACAAAGACCACTACTTGTGGTCTGAACGTAAAAAAAATATAAGAACTACTAGTGGTCTGAACGTAGAAAAAAAAAAAATAAGAACTACAAACTACTAAATTTAAATAAGAGCGAAACTCAAATACTTTACAAAGACTAGTAATACTAAGTTTGGCATTTTACATTTTTACGTATGTAGTACACAGAATGCGGGAAAATTACAATACGTCTTTAGTATCAATAGGACTAAATTACAGGAACTGTTTGAAAAGCGCGCGTGAAATAAGTTAGCGAGAAGTCTCTCTCTCTAACTCGTTATTGGCTAAAAGCTACAACTTAAATAACAGCAACTTAATTAACAACTTAATTAACAGTTTACATACATACAACTTAATTAACAGTTTGCAAGCTCAATTTGCATATTAAAATTAACCGCGTTTATTCTGGCAGGAAGTAGAAAAGAAGAGGGGACAGTAAAGTTTTAAAATAAAATAAACATTAGTAAAACTTAAAATTCTTACAAGGTTTCTTCTTCCATTTCATTCCGTACTGGGATGAAATCTATCTGTCTTCTCATAAATAAAAAAACCCACCTTTGATAACATTGAGAATTTTTATTTAGACTTTTTTAAAGCACAGACAGAAAATACTCCATCTTAAACAGAACTACATTTCGTCTTAAGTAAAAATGCTCGTACAGTTTTTTACATGGCATTCTTAGAAGATTCTTTTGAAGTTGGCATTCCGGCAAAGCATAATTCTTTTTCCATTATAATTGCACGAGATATTTATTTTTATTTATGGTCTGTAAAAACCATTTTAATTTTTACAATTATTCGAATAAATTGCTTATTCGAAGCTTATATAGCTTATAATATATTCGAATACGCTATTAGAGCTTGTTCAAATAAATACGAATAAGCTCGGACGCTGATCTTTGGAGTCACCAGCCTTCCTTAATTGGTCAAACTATCAGTGACGAAACAGCGCTTGCTTGATGTCTCAGGCGACATCATCATGAAAAAGCTATCCCTGGCTCCATTTCGAGAAGCGTTTCAAATATTGGCGCGGTTATCGCCATTTGGCGTAATAAGTGGTCTGAACAGCATTCCATCCAAAATGGCCTCGGCTTGAGGAACAAGTGTCCCAGTTTTAGCAAAAAATATTATGGTAAGCTTAATCATAATTGACTTTCATTAATATGCGAAAGTTAATTGTATCTTCCCTCGAAGATTGTCGAACATCATCGAAAGTTTTGCCACTTGAGCTATTTAAGCAATTACATAGAATACCTTCTCTACTTGTAGCTGGGTAGCTTCTATAAATTTTAGTGAATAAAATGTGATATATGACAAAAATATGAGGCATCAAATAATTGAAATTATTTTGGGAAAACCGTTTTGATAAACATAAACGTCAGGTACTTCGGCCATTTATATTACTTGCGTTTCCTATTTCAACTTGATAAGAAAATTAGGTTAAAAAAGAAATAAAAAAATGTTTTAAAACCTCTTACCTCTGCATCCGTATTTATTTGGATCTTGCAAACCTGAATTCTTATCAAAAATTGGAATGAAGCCTTCGGCACAAACACATTCATACCCTCCTCCTTCCCTGTCTACGCATTTTGTTGTGACAGGACAAGCGTTAGGTTTATTGCAGTTCTCAATTACTGAAATGATAAAATTATATATATAAAAAATCTGAAAATCTGAAAGCTTTTAAATTTTATTACGCCCAAAAGGTTTTCTAACATTTTGTGTGTTACCTTTATTGATTAAATATCATGTTCTTTGCACTTAAAACAGATAAAATTCAATTCAACAGTAGTATCACAAAATACTTAAAAACAGCATATCTTTAGAATTTGCGATACAAAGTCTCGCGAGCTGGAGATAAAAATGTTCTTTCCCGTACAGTGTTGCCATTGCTCGCTTTGAAATCGTTAAGTTTGTTAATCAACAATTCTTTAAAGTTTGACAAAATTTTAACTAGAAAATAAAACAAATTTGAAATTAAAAATTCCGGCTTCCAGGTAACCATTTTCGGTTGGGGGACTACGTCTATCAAATCTGGAGGTCTCTAGGTACTGTAGTTTCTTCGCAATATGTGAAACATTCATATATTCAAGCCCACCAAGCGGCCGAGCGGTGAAGTCGCTGAATCACCGGTAGTTCGGTCCGAGGTTCGAATCCCGCTAACGGGCTGGCTGCATGGGTGTTTTCGTGGTTTTCCCCACGTGTAACGTGTATTACGAGCCAGTTTCCCTTAGAAAGTCCTCCACGAAGGCATCCCTCCCCATAGGCAGATAGCCCTCGAGGCTTTGCCGTAATTAAATAACCTAACCTAACCTAACCATTCATATATTCATGCAGATTCCTCATTATTCAGTTTCTTTAAATATAATACATGGCGATAATGTTTGGTGGCAACAGTTTGAAAAGTAAATCGACCAAAATGCGATTTCGAAAGTAATGGCCCTTCTGGGCTAACGTTCTTTGGGCTAAAAATGTAAACCTCGAGCATAAAATATCCATGCTTGAAGATGCACGCGATATTAATGTTAATGGAAGGTTTTGAAATTGTTTAGTTTGTTAATAAAAAATTCTTTAAAGTTTTAAAAAATATGAAATAGATAATAAAACAAATTTGGGTTTCCTGATGCCCATATTCGAGTGGAAGAACACATTATTCAAAATTTGACGTCTCTAGGTACCGTTGTTTCTTCACAATGCGTGAAACATACATACATTCATGCAGATTCTTCATTATTCAATTTCTTTAAATAGAATGCAGGGCTCTAATGTTTGGTGGGAATAATTTGAAAACTTATACATATTTTTATTCACGAACGGAAAATGTCCAAACGAAATTAACAGCCCTTCTGAGTTAACGCTCGTGTGGGCTAAATGATGTTTAGTTTCTTTTGATTGAATGTTTTCCTCTTTCATATGAAAGCTTTTCTCTACTATAAAGAAAATACTGATACGAATAGTAGGAAATCCCACTCACAAGAAGTAGGATATATTACAGTTAGAAACAGTTCAAAAGAGCAATATTAAGTATTATTTTATTATATTTATTGACTTGCATTATTAAGTATTAAAAAGATATGTGCTTAATATTAGGAATAAGAATAACAGTTATTGCATTGCAATATCATAAAATGAAACCTAAAATGATTCTATAACGATTTTATCAATAATATGCAAGATTCTAGAAAACGCATAGTTCCAGTTTAACAACTGAGTTAAAGATTATATTAGTTGAATTTTCGAGGGGCACAAGGGCTATGGGCTTAAGGGAAGAAGTGTTTCATGGAGGAGTTTCAAAGGGAAATCGGCTTGTATTCGTTTCCCTTGGAGAAAACCATGAAAAACAAACTGTTTGCCTGCGCTCGTACTTCCACAGCATCAATTGCAATATTCGGAGGGCTTAAATACGAGGGTTGGGGCAAAAGTCATGGCAACTATTTTCTTCTTGTAGATATGTGAACGGATCACAAAACGTATATGTGTCGTGTGGAAGTTCTGCAGGCATAGTGTGTATGTAGAACAACATATGGCTCTGTGATAGCTGGCTCTGTGGTAGCGAGGGCTCTGAAATCAGTCAATTGGCGAGTGTCGTGCAAGATGGAAGTAACCCGTGTTGAGCAGCGCGTTTACATGAAAATAGCCGTTCTCCGAGGGAAAAATGCGATGCAATGTCACAGTGAATTAGTAGAAGCCCTTGGGAATAATGCCCTACCATATCGTACAGTAGCACGGTGGGTAAGGTAGTTTCAGCAAGGACGTGTGTCAACCAGTGATAAGCAACGTACGGGACGACCGGTGACTTGGTACGTGCTGTCATCGAGCACCTCATGGATAAAGACAGACGATGGACGTTACTGGAGTTAGAGAGGGCAAGTGGCATCAAGAAATGCACCGTCCACAGGATATTGCGTAATGAGCTACAGCTACGCAAAATCGCTTCGCGGTGGATACCGCATGCACTGATGGAAGTTCAAAGGTGGTGCGTTATGCAATATACTCCTACCACTTTGCACGCTGGCAACAGGACGACGATCAATTCTTGTCACGAATAATCGCCATCGTTGAATTTTGGGCCAGGGCATACGAACCAGAACTGAAACGTCAGTCCGCGAAGTGGCGACATTCTGGATCACCAAGGCAGCAGAAGTTCCGTCAGAATCCTTCCCCAGTCAAATTGATGGTGATCGTCGCGTATGACGTCAGGGGTGTCATTGTTTGCCACTCTGTTCCTCATGGCAGAACAGTGACCGCACAGTACTACAGGGACTTCCTGGTGCGATAGGTACGACGTGGCATTCGGGGTAAACGTCCAGATCTTGTGGACAGTGCGATAATTCTGCACAACAATGCAATACCACATAAAGCAGAGTGTGTATGGCAACTACTCTGACGTTGGGGATGGGAAAAATTGGAGCACCCACCGTACTCTCCTGACCTTTTGCCCTGTGACTTTGATCTCATTCCCAAGATTAAGGAACCAATACGTGGTAGGCGGTTTGCAACACGAGAGGCATCTGCGCCAACAAATGACCCGATTCATTTATGGTGCGGCAAATGCTGAGGCTGATGGTATTCAGCGCCTACCACATCGTTGGCAGCGTGTGGGGACAGTTGCACGGGACTACATTGGGGGTATTTAGGCCCAGGTTTGTCATGTCAACTTTATGTGTATTGTGTTATCAATCTTTTGCACCGTGAAGGCCCTATTGCTCTGTATACTACGGTAATAAATTCGTGTGTTACGATATTTCAGTGCTATTCATTGTCCACACATGTAGTTACGACCTTGTCCTTTCGTCTGTATATGTCACATTTTCCAACCGGACTGGTATCTTCAAGAAAAAAAATAGTTGCCATGACTTTTGCCCCAACCTACGTATTTGTTCCGTTTGTAGAGCTAAGGAGATTGGTTATATAATATAAGGTTTGACAATGATAGCTTTTAATAAAAATCTGATATGGGCACAACATGGCTTCCTTGTACGGCCAATTGAATTATGCAAACTTTTTTGCTGTACTTGCTCTCATGGTTACGTTTGCAACGAAAATATTTTTCGCCATTTTCGAATGGCAAAACCGATGTTTTTCCTGCGCAAATTCATCAGCGCACTGAAAATCCATAAATGGTGTTGCAACTGTACACGTAAGATGACGTAAAAGATTTACAAAGAAGATCATTGTGAAAGTCCACTGTCAGTACAAGAAACGAAGACCGGCAAAAATGTTTATCTGAATTACAAGTTTTCAACGTTTTCAAGGTAGTTTTCAAGTTTTCAAGGTAGACTCAAGTCCCGTGATGTTCTTGACCTCCGCGATCTCCCGATCCCACTCCGATGCATTTCTGATTCTGTTGTTATCAGAAATATCAGTTATAAACGCGAGATCCACGTGATTTGTCAGAACTGAAAGATGTCATAAACATGAAGTTATACAGATTTCTCTCCTCGTCATAATTGCCAATAATCTGTTGCATGCAGTGCGTTGTCGTTTGCGAAGGGAAGCACGTTGAAAACTTGTAGTTCCAAAATAGGTTCTCCCCCTGTTCTTTCTTGTGCTGTCATTGGTTCTTTATAATGCTCTTCTTTGCAAAAATGTTGCGAAAATACGAAAATTACACCTGCAATTTTCGTCGTATGTGTAACGCTCCAACGCCATTTATGATTTTTCTATGCGCTGAACAATTTGCGCCAGGGAAAAAAAATGTGTGTTGTCATTCGAAAATTTTGACGCTTTTTACCGTAACCTTGAGAGCTGTGTTATTTGAAGGACCCCAATCTGAAGCGCATTCCTTCAAATTACAATACCTGAAATTTCATTTCGATTGGTTATGCAAGTAGACCACTAGGAGTTCATATATCGTTGAAAGTTTTATATGACTACCTTGTACACTGCGAAAAAAAAAAAGGGGAGAGTTCTATATCTCCCGTTCTACTGGGCAGATTGACAAAATTCAATTTACGTTTTTCATGTCTCGAAAGCGCGACTTATGATATATATTAGATTTATATATAGCATTGTTCTAACATACGAATTTTGACACAAAATCGGACTTTTTCTGAAATATCATACCAATTTTTTTCCATATATTGATCTACGGCTCAGATTATGCCTACATATTAAATTTTGTAAACTTTGCTGCGAAATTTACGGAGAAATTCAAAAATTCATTTTGGCGTGTTTTTTTAGTTTGCGCCAAGAATAATTCACTTGGCGAACTTCTTCATATATGTCAACCAATTTTCATTTCCCTTATGCTGGAGCGAAAAAAAACATCTCGTTGCTACCTTTTTACATTGCGCATGAGCCGAAAATAAGTGACATCATTCTAACTTTCAAATAATTCTCGAAAGTTGCAAGAATTGATCTCCAATCAGCTCATTAAGAAATTTTTTAGTTTTGAAACCTTTCTGAAACATCTTGTATTAGGTAATTTAATTTTCATTATAGTTTCCATTTAATCATAAGATTATTTTTTAATTTTTAGATCACACTAAAAATGTCAGAACTTCTATTATAATAACATACTTACGAAAGCAAGTTCCATTTTTTTCTTCGTAATATTCGGGACAAGAACATTGCTTGCCGGTGTAATAAAAGGTGCAGTTTGCTCCTCTACCGCATTTGCATTCTGAAAATAGATTTTATTAATTAGTATAATACGTAAAACCTTTGGGGACATAATATTTTACAGTACAACTCTCTTATAACCAGCCCTTATTTAACGAGAATCCGATTTTAAAGAGGAAATCGAAAATACTTGATTGGTTTATAGCCTCACGTGACAAAGTAGTCACGCCTTCTTTCACTTTGCATCCTGCCCTCCGGACATACTCATGCATTTGCTATACCTGCAGTGACTTTTTGATTCATGACAGCCGGTATACAGCTTGCCATCTGTAAGCTACATACGGCAATAGTGGGTAAAGGAAGGAAAGGATACTTGATTGGTACACTGCGAAAAAAAAAAGGTGGGGGACTGTTATGTATTTCCTGTTCTACTGGGCCGATGGACGAAATTCAAATTGCGTTTTTCGTCTTGAAAGCGTGACTTAGCATATGTATTAGATTTATGTAGACCATTGTTATAATATAGGTATTTTGACATAAAATTGGATTTTTTCTGAAATAGTAATAAATTTTGTAAAATTTGGTGCTAAATTTACTGAGAAATTCAAAAATTTAGCTTTACGCGTTTTTTCAGTTTGCGTCAAGAATAATTCACTTGGCAAACTTCTTAATATATGGCAACTTATTTTCCTTTCCCTTTTCACATTGTGCATGAACGGAAGAAAAGTCACATCGTTCCTACTTTCAAATAAGCTTTAACAAGGGCCTAAATCCCCTTTGATGTTATTATCGCTTTCAACAGATATGCCAAATTTCAAAACGCGCCATTATATTAATTCACGTATATCTTCGGAAATTTTGAATAAAAGAGTTGAATTTTGCACTCGTGCATAGAAATAAATCTACTTTAAAATGATGATAAGAATGTTAAAGATTATAATTCAAAATTTTTTTCAAAAATTTTTTTAAATTATTTAAAATACAAATTTTAAAAATAAATCGTAAAAAATGAGCGAATATTATTTAGAATGGGCCTAAATTTCGAAACGTGAAGGGAAAAATCAAATAGGTTCAATAAAAAAAAAACCTTGCGATTTTTACAAAACTTGGCAGTTTGGCAAAATGTGAATCGTAGAATTGAAATATGTAAAAAAAGTGGCATGTCATTTCAGTCCGATTTTGTGTGAAAATACCTATATTAAAACAATACTATATATAAGTGTAGTACATATCCTAAGTTGCTCTTTCGAGGCATCAAAAACGCAAGTTGAATTTCATCAATCGGCACAGTAGAACGGAGTATATAGAATTGTCCATTTTTTTGCGGGTAGTGTACAATTTTAAGTTTACGAGAGAATAACCCGCTTTTAAGAAGCAAGCTCCAGTTAAAGTGAGCAGTAGTTTTGTGATTCGTAAAATTTCTATCGACTTCCACCTCTCCAGCTCAGCTAATCTTTCCTTGAAAAATTTTCTTTAACATTCCAAACCAACCGAATGTTAGTGTTGAGTCATAAATCCTGCGCGTGCGTGGAGAGTGATCAGGATTGAATTTTTACCACCGAATTCTACAAGTGTTATCCAGTCTATGAACTAAAGCAGCGGTACCCAACCTTGTGCTCGCTGATCGTTTTGTATGTGCTCGCCAGCCCGATTGCGTACTATGAACAAAAAATATTTTTAAAATAACCATTCATTTATATTTCTTAATTGTAAAAATATGGTAAGCATTTATAATCATAAGAGATATTTTGCAAGATGTTATAAAACAATTGATTGCTGACTGATAAACTTGATAGCGAACATGGAATCTTCTTCTTCATTCCGATGTTAGATGGCTCAGCAGGGGAAAAGTACTTCAACGACTTTTAGGACTTCTTTCGCCAATAAAGTAGTTTTGGAAATCCAGAAACGAAAGTTATAAAGAGTTGGACGATAACAATTGATTATCCGATGTGTATTTTCTCACAGATACAACAGCTAAACTGAACAAACTGAACGAAGATCTCCAGGGAAAAGGAAATAAAAACCCTTTTCAATTGACTGAAACTGTAACTACTTTTCAGTTAAAGTTAAATTTGTGGACAAATCAGATGAAAGAAAAAGTTCACCCATTTTCAGAATTTATTAAGCCACATTAATAACCACAAGGCAATTGAAACAAAGAAATACTCGGAAAACCTAAATGCACTGAAAAATAATTTTGAACTCCGCTTCTCTGATTTCCATAAAGTTCAGTCAATATTATTATTCATCTCAAAACCATTTGCCGAAATTAATATTTCGGATGTATCACATAAAATTGGAAATATAATTAACAAAACTGTTGATGTTTTGGAAATGTGCTCGCGATAGGCCAAAGGTTGGGCACCACTGGACTAAAGGATCGTAAGAAGTTTTAAACCAAACTTTCGTAAGCATTGCTAATTTCCATGCTTCTCGATGGAACAGAAAAAATATGAACAACCTTAAATGCTAATGTAAACGTACTCGAAGCGGTACGTTTAATGAAGGACGCATGGGGACATTGCCAGTTGTTTCTGTATGGACTGGCCGAATCTTAAGAGGGGCAAATCACTGGCAGAAATGGACGTCCTGGGAAATTTGCAACTGAGTAAAACAGAGATTGGAAAATTATCTATCTGTTGACGCCAACGTTATCACTTCCTTACCTATTTCCGAGGATATTTTAGCTGAATTTCAAGCTAAATTAGATGTAAAAAGTAATGAAAGCGGTGATAACTACCAATATGAAGAATTTAAAGCTGAAACGAGCCCAACAAACTCAGTGACTTTTGAGCGCCCAGAAAAACGTCAAAATTTTGGGCCCAGAAAAACGTTAAAATTTTACGGAACCAGGGGTGCAAATGACGATGTTTTTCGGGCCATGAATCTTCCGCGAAGAACACTAAAACAATAAGACAGTTGAAACCAAATTAACCATAGTATGCAGGGATAAAAATAAACTGGTGTGCAAAGCTTAAGCAACAATGTAAAAAATTTAGAAGATAGCCATGAAATTGCAGAAAAGGTCTGGAGATCAGTACAATGAACAGGTAAGTCAGTAGAAACGTCATGCGTATGCAAATATCAGAAATGAAACGTCCGAGGCGACGTGAGCGTACACAAAACGCGTGATGTCGGCGCGCGCAGCTCAACAATAGAATAAAAGGAAGGACGGAGACGCAATTGAATATATTCGCTGCAAGTGCCAGTGAGTCAGTTCGTGAAATATGTCTAGAAGAAATCACCTGGACGACTTCACACGTGGAAGAATCATCGGAAAGCTGGAGGAGGGGCGTACTGTCACCAGTGTAACTGCAGAGTTCGGAATCAACAAAAGTGTCGTTTCGCGCACTTGGAAATCGTTCGAAACCACAGGTACAGCTATTAGAAAGGTTGGTGGTGGCCGCCCGAGGACGACAACTGCAGAGGATGACCGATATGTCGTCTTGCAGGCGAAAAGAGACCGACAGCAGTCAGCAAGCGCCATTGCTCAGCAACTCTGTACAGCAACGGGGCGACACGTATCGCGGTTTACTGTGGCCAGACACCTTCACAAAGGGGGCTCATTCGCACGCCGTCCTGAATGCTGCCTCCCGTTGAAAGTTGGCAACCGACGCCACCGTTTACAGTGGTACAGAGAGCACAAAAACTGGACAACTGATCAATGGAGTCGTGTCCTCTTTACGGATGAGAGTCGGTTCAGTACCAGAAGCGATTCTCAACGCGTTTTGATTGGGAGAGAGGTTGGGACCCGGTTTTATCGCAGTAACATCAAGGAATGACACCGTAACGGTGGTCCTGGAGTTCTTGTCAGGAAAGGCATTATGCTAAACGGGCGAACTGAGCTTCACGTTTTCGACAGAGGGTCTGTAACCGGGGATCGCTATTGTGAGGAGGTACTCCTTCCACATGTGCGTCTGTTCCGAGGTGCCATTGGCCCAGACTTAATTTTTATGGATGACAATGCACGGCCACATCGGACTGTTGAGGAGCTACTGGAAAGGGAAGATATCACTCGAATGGATTGGCCAGCGTACTCCCCAGATTTAAATCCCATCGAACATGTGTGGGATGCTTTGGGGAGACGCATTGCAGAACGCTTGCATCCTCCGGAGAACACCCAACAACTCAAACAGATGCTGATTGAGGAATGGGCACTCCTACCGCAAGAAATGTTGCACCAGCTGGTTCTGAGTATGGGGAGACGGTGAGAAGCAACTATTGCAGTGAGGGGAGGGCATATCCCATATTAAGGAACATCTGCTTGTTTTTCTTCCTCTTGGATAGACAATTATGAGTCACGATACTATGCGTTCGATAAAGCTTGTTTTTGTTTGATTCCATACCGTATGCATTGTATTCCTTTTCCAGCTCTGATGCTTTCGTCATCCTTTACATACATAATACTCTCCTTCATTTCTGCATTTCATGTCTCTCAGTTGATTTCTCGTGGAGTTAAGGCAAAAAATCCTACTGTTGTTAAGTTTTGCAGAGCAGTGTATATAATATGGTAAGTATGCATTTTTAAGATTTTGTTTCATAAACCCATTTTTACGTGTACTCGGTTATAACGAGTAAATATCTCTGTCCTTTCACGCTCGATATAAGCGAGTTCGGGTGTATATGCATAGTTATTAAAAGTTAATGCCTTTATCTGTAACTGAAACTTTAATTTTCTTTAATGCTTTGCATATTTCAAGGCTGTCATTATTCAAAATTATTCATATGATTTTAGAAGTACAGAATAATTAATGGTTGGTTTTGGTTTAGCTGATTAGGACAAAGCACTCTTTTGCTATCTGCCTGAGGGAAGTGATGCACACGTTACACAAGAGGACAAACACGAAAACGCCCATGCTGCCAGCCCTTTGCCTGGAATCAGGTCACTTTCCAAGGAAGCTTCCATTATCACCTTGTAGAGACATTAGGTTATTTGGAAGCAGAAGAGATGACGAGAAACACCTTCGCCGGGACTCGAATCACAGGCCTCTCGAATACGCGCCGAACGTGCTGACCACTAAGAAGGCATGCTAAGAAGTAGGAAGAAATATCTTATAT